TTCTCTCTGCCTTTGTGTGCTCACTCAGCCACATCTGTCCCTGCCGACCTCACTCAGAGCCATCACAAGGCCCCAAGGTCTGAGTCAACACGAGATCAAAGATACAGAGCAGCTTTAGAGCACACTGAGGCAAATGATACCAGACAAGGAGAATTTAGCCTTGGCAAGCTCAGAATAATTATAAATTGTCAAACCGAGAAACTTTTTCACCTACAAATACACACCACACTTGGTACAAGCTTCAAAAAATATTTAAAAAAAAAACAAATAAACTTCCAAAGGTATTAAAAGCCAAGCAGTTCATAAGCAAACTGAGACATGGATCCTTGAAGGTGTCACAGATGTGCCACTGGATGTGCCTTTCTGAAGGATCTGGAAATAACAGATCCTCCCATGACTAACCTGTCCCTCACAGTTGCCCCCTCACCCTTTTCTTCTCTCCTTTCCCAGATTAAAGAAATTAATCTCCCTCCACCTGATGTGCCACAGATCCATCCTTGTTCACTCTGCACTGGATTTTCCAGGTTTTTTCCCCAGGTATCTCCCAGGAGAGGGGTTGGATGTCTACCATGAAATACCAAAAAGTCAAAATAGCCTGGGGCAAATCACCTGAGTGACAATTCAGGCCCCAGACTTTGGGGTGTTTGCTATTTAAAGCAGCTGAATGCTAACAGGAATATTTGGATTCACTGTGTTGCCTCATCCACTGGAATAGCAAAGCAGAAAATTTACTGATCTGGTCAAAAAGTGTCTCACCAAGACAGGACTGAGAACAATGAAATACCTTTATTCTGATTCCAGTGCCTGATAGAGAAATATCCCAGGCAGAGGAGAATGTGGCATCTGTCTTTGAGACTCCTGGAAAAAAAAAGAAGAAAAAAAATCTAGGAGATATGGGAAGATCTAAGAGTATTCCTATGCCAGTGATGAGAGTTTTTATCAGAACATGGCAGTAATGCAAAATATTTAATGCAGATACTCCATGGCTGTGCCGTTGCTTTTATGGAGTTTTTATTGCTTATAAACCAAATCACCTTATTGCTGGTATTTTCTCTGACCCTTTAGTTAAAATGTTACCCCAAGGACAATCCCATCTTTGTGTGCTCAGTGTTTGCTGAGCACTCCGGGATCCCTGGATTTGCATGGGGTGGGGGCAGAGCCCCACCCAGGGATGACATCTAATCCTCCTGCATTTTTCCATGAAAAGCACTGGCATTTCCTAAAAAAAAAAAAAAAAAGCTTCATTTGAAATTAGCAAAAGCTTCTGTTCTATTTCCTAGGTGAGGCAAGTCAGAAATTCTTTGATATTGAACAAAAAGACAAAAAGAAGGGGGGGTGTGAACTGGAATGGGCTGCTCAGAGAGGCTGTGGAGTCTCCATCCTTGGAGACATCCAAAATTCATCTGGAAACGGTCCTGGGCACTCAGATCCCAGGGAGGTGGGACTGGATCACCCCCAGTGTCCCTTCCAACCTCAACCACTCCAGGATTCTGTGAAGAAATGTATTTGAGCCTTCATATTTTTGAGCATTTTAAAGGAATTAAATGTTTTTCCTGGTAAAATAAGTTCTTCTCCTGCTTGCCTCAAATTCTTTCTGGATTTTTCCATTTAGGGAAAATAAAGAAGAGCAAAAAAAAGAGGGGAAAAATTAAAAAAAAA